TTTTTTTGGGTGTTTTCAATGACTCGTTGTTTGAGCTCGAAAGGAGTGTGGCCCGTCTAATTTTCTCTTGAAATGTCTCCTTCATGGATACATGACCTCACTCAGTGGATTGAAATGCTACTCCCATTCTTTTTATTCTAGAATCAAGAAAAAGTTTATTCACTGCTCGGGTTTGGTTTTTTTTTTTTTTTTCCTCGATGCAGGTGTTGATGCAAACTCGTAGTGATAAGCTCCGCGCCCGCATATTGGGTCTGAGAATAGTGAAATATCTTGTAGAGAATCTAAAAGATGAATATCTGGTATTTTTGGAGGAAACCATTCCTTTCCTGAGTGAATTGCTCGAAGACATTGAGTTACCAGTCAAGACTCTTGCACAAGAGCTTCTCAAGGAAATGGAATCTTTGAGTGGTGAAAGCCTCCGAGAGTACCTTTGATATGATGTTACGCTACCCTGGTAAGGGAAAATACCTTGGAGGTTTGTGTACATACATAACAGGTGTCCCAGTTTTGTCAGGTTTTCGGGCAGGTGCTATCTTGGACTCAGTTTTGTTTTTAATATTTAGAGTGAAATTTACGATTACTAACTGCGTTATTGTTGTAATCGAACACAAGGAAAGGCGAATTTTGTTCGTATATGCTTTTAAGATGCACAAGTTCTTTTGATACTGCTTCAGAACTAATACATTTACAAGGATGGGCTTTGCTTTTGCTTCATGCTCAGTCAACTTGTTTTTCCTTCATTGGTTGGTCGGCTAAAATCAATTAAAAAAAGCCCCTCAAATTGTCTGTTAATTAGGTTTTTGACCAGATGAGAGAATTTCAAATCAATTTTTACCGCAGACAAGTTGAATGAGTAGTCATTGCAAAGCATCTCCAGGTCACTTTCACATGCTACATACAACAGAGGGATCCAAATTTTGTATTTTCATTGGCTAATTGGGGAATATACCAAGAAAAGTCATTTTCATATTTGAAGAAATCTTTGAACAGACAAGGAAATTGTTATACATTGATGTTTGAAATGGATATGAAATACAAAACAGTAAACCATAACTGTAAATAATTTATATTAAAATATTTGACTGAGTGGGTAATGAACTCTAATTAAAAATATATAATATAAATTAATATCATTTTCAAGTGTTCATGATAATTTTGATGAGAACATAAAAATGAATAGGATATAAATTTGTTAACTTTTTTTTTTTTTTAAAAAAAACTTTTTGTGCCTATTTATGTTTGAGGAATGCTATAGGTACACATTACAAATCTGTTGATATATGCAATTTCCGTTAGAATTTTTTATTTCCACCCCCAATAGAAAATCTATCGTCGGAATCGGAATTCAATGAAAAACTCATTCGAACGGAATGTATTTGTTGGAAATTTTCGTTGGAATCATCGAAAAATTCCAACGGAAATAATAACATTGAAAAATATCCATTGGAATTGCCGCTGGAATTCTAGTTGAATGTATTTCCGTTGGTATTTCGTTGTAGTAACATAACTAGTATAACACCCGTGTATTACACGGGTGCTTGCTATTTTTTTTCTTAAAGTCTAAAATTAATGAGAAAAAGTAGTTGAAAATTTAAATACTTTTTATAAAAATATATATATATATATATTATTATTATATATTAGCATAAAAACTTTTTATTTGTGCGACTTACCTGTGTTATATTATAATAATTTTTAACTTACAACATATAACTACATTAAAAATAAATATATCAATTGATAAATAATTTTATTTTACTAATAAATTTTAATAAATATTATTATTTTTTATTATTATAAAGATAAATATAATTTATTTATTTCATATATACAATATGGATGTCAAATCGAAGATCATCAAAAGATGATTAATTTGATATATAATATATGTAAAACCGAAAATAAGTACAAAAGTTATCAACTTTTAAAATACATTTATAATTCAATAGTTAATTGAAGGAAACAAATCAAAGTCAAGGATATATTAGTCACTTAGTGTCTCATTATGTAAAATTACAAATAATTAAAGGGTTATATTAGTACAAGTGATATTAAAATAGCTAAGTTAGCTAAATAATATTTATGGAATGTCCGAACCTAGATTATTAATTATTAATATACAATATTATTTGTCCAAACCTAATTACGAAGCATGATTCTTCTTCAAGTAGGATTACGGAGCACCAGAAGCAGCCACATAGGCTCAACGCATTCTAGAATTATATATAGGGAGGATATTGTACGTAGGGTGTGTACATAACACTCATACTGAGTGAGACCAACCAAAAAAAAAATCAAGTAGATCCCACTCCATGTGAGTGTTATGTACACATTCACCTACGCATTGGAATCATTTTTGTTACAAGTAAATAAAATATAGAGTCTACAAATAGCTTTTGGCAGATGATGATTGAAACATGAGTTTATGAATTAATTATGTTTTTTTAATTTAGCTTTCCATCAAGGGAACATGTGTGTGATCCAAATCATAAAAATAAGCCCCTTTTGTATCGCCCGTGCCGTCACGGAAAGATTCTATTGGCCCAACCCTCTTTTCGAGTTTAAATTTCTCCGACAGCTACACTCCAAACGAATCCACACACACACACACCACTATGTGTTGTTCTTTTTGCACCTTTACTATACAATACAACATAGTAGTATTTATCTTGAGAGAGAGAGCCACAACAACAAAAAGAAAACAAAACAACTCATTTTCTCAAATTTTATGCATTTTCATTGTCTCAACAAACAAGAACATGGTGGTGGTGGTTCTCTTGAAAAAATTAGTCCTATTGTTGGCGGTATTGCCCCTGGCCTCTCCTTTGATCCTGGAAATAAGCGAAAAGACGGTGGCAGAAGAAGTCGAGTCCGAGTGCACGAGCTGGAGGGTTAGTGTTGAGGCGAATAATAATTTGAGTCCTTGGAAGCAAATCCCGAAAGAGTGTGGTGAGTATGTGAAGCGATACATGAGGCTTAGAGGCTATGCAAGTGATGTCGAGAGAGTTTGTAGGGAGGCCAAGATGTACGCAAGGAGTGTTAACTTCAGTGGCGATGTGAAACCCAAATATGCATGGATTTTCGACATCGACGAGACTCTTCTTTCTAATATTCCTTATTATCACCACCATGGTTATGGGTATTTTAACTATTTCCCCCCCTTTTTTCTTATGTTAATATATTCTACTTTTCTTCACATAATTTGAGCATTTGTGTTTGTGTTTTCGTGTGCACGTAGCTTGGAGATTTTTAACAGTACAAAGTTTGACGAGTGGGTGGATATGGGAATGGCGCCTGCCATAGACCCAATTTTGAGGCTATATGAAGAGGTTTTAAGGCTGGGATTTAAGATCATCATATTGGGAGGTAGGAGCGTGAGTCGACAGAGTATAACCGTTCACAATTTGTTACAAGCCGGATTTACAGATTGGGACAAGCTCATACTTAGGTCAGTTTCAAATGTGCTTCAAATTACAGAACCTGGTTAAGTTTCGATACTGACTCTTATTGTTTCACAGTTCAATCTTGCTCGACCTGTCATGAATAAAGTGTGTTGAATATTTTGCATCAAAGTAGTGTTTATCTTTGGTAGATTGAAGTAGCTACTCTCTATAAATTTGCTTTTCATCATCTTTTCTTCCTTACATTTATTTGGTTATTATTAGTAGATATGAATTGTAGGTATAGTATTTATTTACTTACTTCTTGTAACTAAGCTAATTTGAAGGGGTTAATTCTGTAAGTTTAAAAAAGAAAGGCAGAACAAAACAAATGTTAGGGTGTGTTTGTATACAAATATGACCGTTGAAAATGAGTTTTTTTTTTTTTTTTTTTGTTAACAAGAGTTAATTTTGAAAAAAAGTGTTACAACTAGTTGTTAGTGAGATTTTAAGTTTATATTAAAATAATTAAAGTCGATCTGATGTAAAAATAGTAAAAAGATGATAGAGAGTGATAGTTAAAATTATGTGAGTAGATAATAGTAAATTAAAGTTGATGTGATATGTAAGAATGATTGGTTGATATATATTATTTAATAATATTGATAATCTTAAGAATATTATGGTTGAGTTCGATTTTGAGTATGAATTGAGATATTTGGTATACGAACCCCTTACCATGAAAAAGGAAAGAAAATTAGAAACACTTAGTTTTTTAACATGAAAAATGTTCGTTTTAATAAACCTTTTATATGCTAAACAACCGTGCAGGTCCCCGGAAGATCATGGGAAAAAAGCTATGATGTACAAATCAGAGAAAAGAAAGGAGCTGGTTTTAGAAGGTTATGAGATTGTAGGCAACTGTGGAGACCAGTGGAGTGATATATTAGGGTCCTCCATCTCTAAACGTTCTTTCAAGCTTCCTAATCCTATGTATTGCATTCCTTGATAATTAACCTCATACTGTTTTTTTTTTTTTAAGCCTTTTTGTTTTCTTTTATATACATGAACTGGGGCAAGCTTGCTTTTTTAAGCGATCCTGGACATGTTTGTGAAGGTACATGCATAGAGTGATAACTGTTTATGTTTTTCTCTTGTTTTGATGATTAAAATCAATATTTATAGTACAAGTCAAATAAGCAGTGATGAATGCGTTGGAAAAATTATGTAGTAATAACACCAAGAAAAAGGCGCGGTAGTCTAAAATGCAATGCAAATGGGAAAGTCTGTTTATCGGACAAAAGGCACTTTCCATGTGACGAAGAGTCATTCGCAACTCATCCCATGTGCTGCAATTCACCCCACATGTGCACAGCACGTCGTCCCAAATAGGAAAGGAACATTGACAATAATTTCAAGTCGTAAAACTCCAATTAAATTGGCCAGATGCGAATCGGTTCGGTCGCGCCGTTCTGCATCCGGTAGGTCGGGCCAGACGAAGCCTTCGCGTCCGGCATAAGAGGCCGGACGCGCGCGAAGGTTCTCGCTGTCAGCGGCCGGGGAAACCCTCCGTTGCCGTCTTCGCTGCCCAGTCAGGCGGTAGGAAGGCTGATTTTTTTAGATTTATTTATTTTTTTAAAAATAGAATTGACTTAATTTTTTGATTTAGTTAGTTTAGATAAATTTTAGTTTAGTAGTTATTAATAATATAATTTAGTATATAAATTTAATTATATTTAAATTATGTTAAAAATACTTTTTAATAATAGTTAGTAGTAGTTGTAATATATGTAGTACACAGTTTTGCTATGGAGCCATCGGATGGCTCGACTTATGGAGCAATCCATAATTATTCACCAATAGTGTATTGACATGTGTCCTACAATAAATACAATTTGGAAATGTGTCAATATATTAAGCAATTGATGACTTTATAAGAAAACCATCCGATTGCTCCATAAAATTTTTGATGTAGTACAATGGGTTGTTGAGTAATTATTAGATTTACAAAAATATAATTTAAAAATAATATAATTAGTTGTATAATTATGATGTATTTTATAAAATTAATTAGTTTCACAAAAATTGATTTTTTTTAATCTTTTTTAGGAAAATAATTACTTGTAATATTTTATAATGTATTTTAGAAATAGTAATAATTAATATATTAATTATAATTAGTTTGTGTAAATATTGTTAAGTAATAGTTAATTATAATTATCTTATAATAATTATAAATATATGGATTTAAAAAACTGTTTACTTATTGTTGATGTTGAAAATCGGACAATCAACCGTCAATTATAAGTCAAATTTCTTGTAGAAAGATGAAGAACGAAATTATTTTAAAAAAAGTGTTCTCTGTTATAAAAACGGGAAAGATAACGTACACAAAATAGAAGCCAGGTAGAAATTATACTTATTATTTTCTCTCTTCTTTCTTTCTTTTCAATGGTGTATCATTTCTCTACAATTGAGTGCCTTTTATAGGCAAAATTCTTCCGACACATGCACACAAATATGCACATCTATTATTCATACCCATATCCCATTTACGATTTACATTTAATCAAATAGTGAAATGTCACTATTTGTGCAAAGTGGTTCATTCCACTTGCTAATATTATAACACTCATCCTTGGAATAACCACTATGCAATGTGCATTTATGCTGCCTCATTAAAAACCTTATTCGGAAAAACCCTGTGGGAAAAAAAATCAAGATAAGGAAAAAAGGGTACAACCGCACACGCTCCCCCTCGAGTTACCATCCATGCAAATCTCGAAGATGTCTCATTCCAATGTTAAGGACATGCTTTCAGAACATTGTTGTTGGGAGTATCTTTGTAATCAAATCTGCTGCGTTATCGCTTGATCGGATATATTAAATCTTGATCTGTTTATTCCTTTCAAGCTCTTGAGTGCATGAGAAGAAATTTGGTGGGATATGTTTAGTTCTGTCACTCTTGATGTATCCTTCTTTAGTCTGAGCGACACATGCTGCATTGTCTTCGAATATCACCGTCGGGTCTTTATTATTTGAGAATCCACTGGCTTGTTGAATGTGTTGAGTCATGTTTTTGAGCCAGATGCTTTCCCTAGTTGCTTCATGCAGTGCAATGATTTCAGCATGGTTGGAAGATGTAGCAACTAGTGTTTTTTTTTAGAATGCCAAGAAAATGCAATTCCACCAATAGTGAAAACGTAGCCAGTCTGAGATCTCGCCTTATGTGGGTCTGATAAATATCCTGCATCTGCAAAATCGATCATTCCATGTTTTTTATCATTTGAGTAAAATAATCCCAGATCGATTGTTCCTTGGAGATAATGAAATATATGCTTGACTCCATTCCAGTGTCTCTTCGTAGGTGACGAGTTATATCTTGCTAATAAATTGGTAGCAAAAGATATATCTGGTCTGGTGCAATTAGCAAGATACATAAGAGCCCCTATTGCACTCATATATGGTACCTCAGGACCAAGTACTTCTTCATTTTCTTCACATGGTCGAAATGGATCCTTTTCAACATCCAATGTTCGGTTAACCATCGGAGTACTAAGGGAATTAGCTTTGTCCATATTAAATCGTTTCAATACTCTTTTAGTATAGTTAGATTGATGGACAAATATTCCATTTTGTACTCTCTCTATCTGTAAACCGAGACAATATTTGGTTTTTCTGAGATCTTTCATTTAAAATTCGCCTTTGAGAAAACTGACTGCTTCTCGAATTTCATTTGCTGTCCCAATAATATTGAGGTCATCAACATAGACAGCAATTATCACAACTCCATCATATGATTTCTTTATAAAGACACACGAACATATTTGATCATTCAAGTATCCCTTTTTTAGTAATTTTTCACTCAAACAATTATACCACATACGCCCGGATTGTTTCAAGCCATATAATAATCTTTGCAACTTTAACGCACATAACTCTCTAGGTTTGGAGTTTAGTGCTTCGGGCATTCTGATTGCTTCTGGGATTTTCATAAATATGTCGGTGTCTAATGATCCATACAAATAAGCAGTTATAACATCCATGAGACGCATCTCAAGATTTTCATGGATATCTAAACTCATCAAGTATCTGAAAGTAATTGCATCCATGACAGGGGAATATGTCTCATCATAATCGATCCCAGGCCTTTGGGAAAATCCTTGTGCAACAAGGCGAGCTTTATATCTCGTAATCTTATTTTTCTCATTTCTTTTTCTTGTGAAAACCCATTTGTATCCAATAGGTTTTATGCCTTTTGGTATAATGGAAATAGGCTAAAAAACTTTTTGTTTATTTAGTGAATCTAATTCGGCTTGGATGGCGCCTTTCCATTTATCCCAATCATGTCTTTTCTGGCATTCAGTTACAGTTTTTGGTTCAGGATCCTCAACTCCATTATCAATTTCTTTCGATACCATATATGCAAATGCATCATCATTTGTGATCTCATCACGCTTCCAAAGATTCCCATTATTTACATAATGATGGAAATTTCAATATTTCCATTCTGTCCCGAAATTTTTCCATCATCTTGATTCTTTTCCAAATTCAGGTCACGAATCTCTTTTCTTTCGAGGATTCTTATCCTTAGACCCAATTGGTCTTCCTTGTTTCAAGCGTGTATTTGACTCATTTGGCACATCATCATTTGCCATTTCTTTTGGAATCTCAATTCGAGCAGGGGCATTCACAGTCGCCACATGTGATTTGGTCACCCTTTTTAAATCAGTAAATGCATCTGACAATTGATTTGCAATATTCTGCAGATGTACGATATTTTGAACTTCTTGCTCTCTTTGTTTGGTGGGAGGATCAAGATATGATAGTGATGATGTTCTCCATTCAATATTTCTCTCAATTGATTTTTCATTCCCACCTAAGGGGGGAAACAATTCTTCATTAAAATGACATTCATCAAACCGAGCTGTAAAAACATCACCTGTTTTCGGCTCAAGGTATTTGATTATTGATGGAGATTCATATCCAACATATATTCCCAAACTTCTTTGAGGCCCCATTTTTGTACGTTGGGGCGGAGCAATTGCTACATATACTGCACAACCAAAAACTCTTATATGTGCAATATTTGGTTTTCGACCATATGCCAACTGTAATGACGAGTATTTATGCTATGCACTTGGTCTAATTCGAATTAGATCATCCGCATGCAGAATAGCATGTCCCCATACTGAAGCAGGAAGTTTTGTTCTCATTATCAATGGTCTAGCTATGAGCTGCAGTCGTTTAATTAATGATTCTGCTAGACCATTTTGAGTATGAACATGTGCCACAGGATGTTCAACATCAATTCCCACTATCATACAATAATCATTAAATGCTTGAGATGTAAACTCACCAGCATTGTCAAGTCTGATCTTTTTGATAATATAATCTGGAATTGAGCCCTTAACTTAATAAGTTGGGCGAGTAATTTAGCAAATGCCACATTTCGAGTTGATAACAAACTCACATGAGACCATCTACTTGTGGCATCAATCAACGCCATAAAATATCTGAATGGACCGCAAGGTGGATGAATAGGTCCACATATATCACCATGAATCCTTTCTAAAAATAATGGTGATTCATGTCCGATTTTAGTGTGTGATGGTCTCATTATCAATTTCCCTTGAGAACATGAGGCACATGTCAATTCATGCGTTTGCAATATCCTCTGATTTTTTAATAGATGGCCATTAGAATTTTCAATAATTCTTCTCATCATTATAGTGCCAGGGTGGCCAAGTCGATCATGCCAAATTTTAAACATTCCATTCGATTTTGAAATGGCTGCAGCATAAACCTCGATTATATTAATGCAGGTATAATATAAACCCGAGGATAAAGCGGGTAGCTTCTCCAAAACACATTTGTTTCCTGCAATATTTGAGGTATGCAAAGATATTCATCTTCCCCTTTATTCATTGTTTCAACGTGGTATCCGTTCATTCGGATATCCTTAAAACTCAACAAGTTTCTTGTTGATTTTTGGAAGAATAATGCATT